TTTTTTTTTTTGTGGACAGTAACTACTTGGTCTAACAGCAGAAATAAAAGTAACTAAAATATGGTGTTTGCCAGTATGGAATTTCCCCTCTCCTTTAATTTTCATTTCCACAATCAAGTTAATTTCTCTGTAAAACACACTCTGGATTTAACTGAGTCCCAAGATACATGATGTTCTTCCAAACTGAAGTTATAAAATTCGATTTTACAATCACAGTGGACAGTTGCATGTACCAAATTGTTTGGGTGCATTTTTACAATATTCATCACTTTACTGTATGTTCATGTTGCTAGTTTTAGCCAAATTGAAATTAAAATGGGGTTTTCATTTAAGAATCATTATTTGCTGTCTCACATATCAGTAGTTAGATAAACTTCTTGTTCTTTGTCTGAAACCTCCAGGCTAATGTATCTGGAATGCAGAAGCTTGTCTTGTTTAATGTGACTGTTATGACTAAGAGGGATACGTAGTTATTGGGGAGCATGGATCTGTTTGGCTGTGCTTTTTGCAAACTGTATAAGTTTGAGTAAAACTTAAAGGAGAAGCTCATTTCAGGGCTGTAGGATTAGTTTTATGCTCTGAAGTTATATGCAGATAACCCTTGGAGTCTGATACGCTTCTTATTTTGAGAGCAAGCTGTGCTAAATAGGCTATGGAGAAGGAAGGTTGTAGGGGGGTAACATCCTAAAATAAGTGCTGCTGCATTGTGGTTAGCCTCCATGTTAGTCTGAGCATCACTGCTACTCTCTGGGTGTCAGATATGTAGAACGTGGCAGCTATTTTTTTACAAACACATAATGCTTTTCAAGTGTGAAAGCATTGGTTTTTCCACACTTTCCCTTTACAGTTTTCTGCTGCAGTTTGATTGGAGTCTTTGCTGCTGTGATGTTTCCCTTGCTGCCAGCCCCACTCCCCTGGCCTCTCTTTATTTTCCGATCTGTGATGAAGCTCAGATGTTAGTGTGGCAAATACCTTCCAAGGCTATGTTTTTTATCTACCACATAGTTTTGTTCTTCTCTGCAGATGCTGTGTAGGAGTATAGGGCTCATGGCTCTTTTGATCAGGATGTTCGGAAATGACGTTGTGAGGGTGTTGGGTTTTTCAGGGTTGGGAGGGTTGTGTTTAATACAGCTTCATATAGACTGATAGGGGAGAAATGCCCCAACTGCTGGAAAACCTGAAGGCAAACCTAGTGTTGTCTTCCTTGCTTCTGTGGTCAGTCAGCTGTGAGACACATCAAAAGGAATTAATTCAAGTGTTTGTGGAACTACTTCTTGTCTGTTTCTGCCTGCTTCTGAAACAAGACGGCATCTCAACCCAGAGGACTTGAGTGGGATAGAAAAAAACTGGTCAAAGGGACTGCCTTTGTGCTGTGAAAATAAAATCAGATTTTATGAATGAGTCCATTAGAATCAGTGACCAACTTTGACCATAACCATACTTTGAACATTTAAGATACTAAGATATTAAAGATGGAAAGGCACCTCAGAAATTGGAGATTGTTCTGTACTGTAAACACACCCTATAAAGATTCTAACTCATCTAATAGCCGACTGGCTGATTTTTTTTTTCTTTTTTCCCCAGAAAACCATTAAAAGTACTTTCCATACTTTTGTTTAACCTACAGGTTACGAGTAGTTTAACATCTCTGGTATCCTATTTACCGAAGATTCTTTTTGTTTGTTTGTGTGTTTATTTTAGAAAAAACATAGTAAATGCTTGCTTTTATCTTCAGCCTTGTCCATTTGCAATGTTTAATGCAGTTACTGGCCATCTCTTAAGCTGCAGGACTAGACTTGACATACATTTCTGTTTAATATCACTTTAAATTAATGGTCCATCTGTCACAAGTATTTATAAAAGGAGTGTCTGCAGGACAAGGAGATGGGTGTTGTCCTGGTTATACAAGTGGGGTTTTTTTTGTTTGTTTTCTGTTGTTGTTGTTGTTGGGTTTTTGTCTTGTTTTTGTTTTTTAAAGAAATTGCTGAAAAAAAAGATGGAAGATGTCAGTATTTGAAAACCAAACTTGGTTCTGTGCAGGAGCTTTTTGGTGAGTGTATTCCAGCATGGTGCTGTCACGTGTACTTAACCAGCTCCTGTAACTGATACGGACAAACTTTGTGTCAAGTTTTGTTAGATGGCACCTGTTTTGTTTAAAGCTTCAGGTTCAAATGGGAATGAGTAGTAAACAGTTATTTCATACTTCATGATGTTTTAACACTTGCTGGTGACCTAAGAAATTTTTTTTATATCCTCATACTTTGCTGTATTAACTAGATAGACTAACATGAATTTCAAAAATAATTATGTTCCCACATCTTAATGGAAATTACTAATCTCTGATCTGATACATTGATATTGTAAGGGGCTCAGTTTATATGGAACCATGTGACATAATTTTCGAGATCATACAAGGATCATGGCCTAAAAATTTTGTAAAGGTCAGCAATTTAGTAATGCTCAAATGGCATCTGAACACACTCTTATTTCAGTGACAATTTCCAGTAAGAAAGAAAGTAATCTGAGAGGTTTCTAAGGTCCATCTTTCATGTAATGAAGGATTATTGGGAAGGAAATAGCTATTTTTTAAAAACACCTTATTTTTATATTATAGTACTTGGATCAGAGTTGAGCTTTCATCTTCACACATTAGTGCTTCTTCTGAGTAATCACTGAAGTTAGTTTGACAATAAATGTGACCACTTTATTTCAAGAGCTTAATAGTTGGATCGTAAAGCATATTTAGACGGAAAATATTAAAGTGTTCCATTTTGCATATTGACTTAAGTTTTCTTCGTAATTTAACCCATTAATTCTATGTCAAAGTATACAGGATTTGGACAAGAGTTCCCATTTTAGTATAGTTCACATTATTACTGATCTATAGGTTTCGTCAATTTTTTTTATATGTACATTTGCTTTTCTTTCCATCATTTCATGCTTTGTTATTGTATTTTTATCAAAATTGATTTCATTAAAATTCTGGGGGTTTTGTTTTCCTGGTCTCTATGTATAGGCAGGTTGTCTGTAATTCAGATTCTGGCGACATCAGTGGAGTGCCCAGATATTGACTTGTCTTCCATGTTATTACTTTGGAGGTTTTCATATTTCTAAATGTTTGAGAGTTCCTTTCTTTTATTTTTGTCATGCTGTTCATTTTCAGTGTTGAATAACAAATACCAATATAGTTGTATGTGCGGATAACCCCTTTTTGAACATGCAAAACTGGTGAATAATCCCTAATGTAATTTCAAAGATGAAATACCAGTAAGTGATTTTTAGCTTAAAACAAGAGGTCTTGAAATGTGTTAATGTTTTCCTTATGTTGATGGAAATAATAGTAAACAAGACAATCAAAAATGTGCTTCTGTGGAATCAGTTACAAGTAAAATCACTTTACAGCAAAGATGGTGTTTATTTTGTAACTTTAGAGTTAAGTGTTACTGGAGACATGAAATCAAAGCGGCAAACATTCCTTAGCTTCTCAGTTTATATGCAAAATGGATGAATTATTTGGAGAATAGCTTTTTAAAATTTATAGATGTATTTTACTTCTGAAAATAGTTCAGTTGGAAAATAGTGGCTCACTAATGCAGTATTTGAAATAGTTTTTTTAAAAAAAATACTTCTGTCTTTTGAATATTGAGGGGAATTTTTCAGTGTAGAAAAAGAAACTTGGTATGTAAATATATGCAGTGAAATTAGTGTATTAAAAATAGGGGAGAAATGCGTCACTTTTAAAAGCCCAGTAATTTAGTTGTTTGGTCAGGTTTTTTAAAGAAAAAACAGATTTACTATTTTTCTACAAATTCTGGTCATCAAGTTTCTAACTGTGTTGTGTCTTTATAAAGTAAAAACTCACGTCTTTGCATATTTGGTGCCAACCCTGGGAGCAACTTCTGTAACATTTTATTTGTAACCACTGCAGTGGAGGAGCATTGAGATGCTTGCTTAGGTGTATGCGTACTAGGTCAACTCCAGCAGTTTTTAAGCTTGGTATAAAAGGAATTTGAGTTTTCTTCGTACATTTACCCTTCTTGATACTCAAATGTGTCACAGTTACATTACAGTGCTGGTAGAACAAATGATTTCACATGTATGAAAATGTGTGTGACATGGCAAATCTTCAGCATTACATAACTGAGGGATTAAGAGTTGTCATTTTAAAATTTGCTTAGTGAGGTATGTTACGTTTTAGTTTCACTGCCTATGTTCAAAGGAGCTTATTTATGAAAGTAGCTCTCCTGAAATGCCTGGAAGATTTATTTTATGAGAAATTTGTAGTAAATGTTAAAAGAAAAGATGTTGAATAAAAAAGAGGAGAATGAGCTGAGCAGTGGAAGAAATATGCACGAATACAGCTTGATCTGTCACATCATGTAACGGGGCTACCACCTGTCAGCAAACACACTTGCTTTAGCAGACTGCTTTTACTTTGTAGAAGTGCAAAGTAGTATGAGATTTGGAGGGGTAGCTTTATCTCTAACTCTTGGTGACTCTGTGAATCTCATCGTTCATCTTTGCACGTATACTTAGTTTTAATGAGCACTGGTGGGGAGCTGCTCTTGAAGGTCCCTGGCTGTAGCTGAAACATCTTTCTGGATAAAGGGTGTAGGCTGCAATTAATTATGAAATAGATGGATGCTCCTCCTGGATGTCTTTATTTGTGTAGCATTTACTTAGAAATCTTGATCCATCATGCAAAATCTACACTCTAAAAATGCCTGAAGTTTCTCAAAACTCTTTGCTACTTTTAGTCTCTGGTTTCTTAACTTTCTAGTTTGTTTAATTGCTCTAGTACACTAACGATGCTTGGGTTTTATTTTCACTGTGTAGTAACTTTTTCTCTTAAGTTTTATCAAAATGAACATAGGACCTTTAATGTTTAATATTAATTAAAATAACTTCAGTTTTGTTCTTTCTGTTCTGTAAAAGGGTATCTGAAGAATTTTTACAAATTTTATCTTGGAAATTAGCTTATTCATTATGTTTAATTTTAGGAAATGGTGCTCTTGCAGAACATTCTGAAAATGTGCATATTTCAGGAGTGTCAACGGGTAAGTCATTTTTTGTAATGTTTAAATTTCATGCATGACTTAAATAGTAAATATTGAAAGCCACCTGGTATCTTATGAAGAGATATTTGGCTATAAAAATTATTACTGCCTTTTGCAGCATGTAATAAGGAATGAAGCAACTGGAACATGGAAAAATTCTCATAAGATAAAATTGATACCTGCATGCTCATGAACAGATTATGCCTTTCTAAGTGGACTGCTTAATTATTTTTCCAGACAAACATTGAACTAAGAGAAAAGTTGGTTTAAGTTGAATTGATATTTTCTTTCCATGGTAAAGTTTTTGTGAAATGAAATTTATTGAAATGTAATTTTGGACACTGCTACTATCAAATAATATGAACCCAGAAGTTATGTATTTCACCTGATTAGATTGAAGCAGTAACTGAAGCTACTGTACACTTGACTGCACTGTTTCCTTAATACAAGAAAAAAAGAGTTTTAGAACTCATGAAACTGAGAAACTGATGAGATGCTGGGAGAATATAAGGTATAAAAACAGCACGCATTGTACAAAGGTTGCTATGTTCTCTTCCAGTAAGTTGGTCTTAGGCCTCGTCTGGGCAGCAGCCACAGTTGGGACTGTTCTGTGTTAGTGATGTGCCTGGGTGTCCGTTAAGGCATTAGACGATACCAGTGTATAGTCTTCGATCTTCAGATGTTAAGCAGTGTCATCTAAGCTGCTGATCATGTTTTACACATCTGTAATACAGATACTCGGAATATGTGCAGATGGGGACACAAGCACTGTTCTGCAGTGGGTAGAAGAATACAAGCCTGATTCTTTTCATAGGGAGGCTGCTACTAATCCTTGGAAATCAAACTGATTTTCACACCCTTCTCCTAAATAAGAGTCAAAATGCAAACTCATCCTTTTTGACAACAACTTGCACATCTTGCTGTAGTTATCCTCGCAATATAGCTTCAAACGTTACGTTGCTATTTGTGCATGCAGTTAAGTTTTTGGATAAGTGAATGGTCAGCGGATGGCCTCTGTTACACCATGCTACTTTCTTTTTCTCTTCCATTGTTTGCTACTCAAAGACTGTCAGAAGTCTTAATTATAGAAGATACTTGCTACCCATTCTTGTGCAGCATCATGAAGAATGTTGTTGCTTTTCAGCAGTATCTGAGTGCACCGAGTATCATCACGTATAGTGTATTTATGGCACACTGTACATAATACATAACAGCACAGGTACTTGCCTGGTACTTGTTGCTGGAACTGTATTGTAGGAGTTACACAGCCTAAAATATACCTTATGCAGCTTTCAGGATATGCTTTAACAACCCTTTACCCCTTTGTTTATTGCAGCAGTCAGGTCACAGGTCACAGTACAGGCAGAAAAGCATCTGCTAGGCAAGAGGTGAATGGAAGTTTTGACTCTGCTTTCAGTACTTTGGCCAGCATGCGTGAATACACATTGCCAAGAAGGGGAGAACACAATGTACTTTCTACACGAGATAACGGCAGCTGGTAGACAGAGCCTTAACTACTGAGAAAGATCCAGTCAGGGCTTCCATTTTAAAATAAACTTTAAAAAAAACATATAAAAGTAGTTCTGGTGGTCCTGTGTTCTAAAATAGTGTTCCAGTTGGGGAAAAATAAATATCATACTCTTAAAGTTTCTATCTTAATATAACGTGGAAATTCTTCACTGGAGAATTTTTAAATAGCAGGGATGGGAGTGGTCCATTAATGTAAACCTGAAAAAAGTGTGTAGGCAGACCCAGTGGCATTTTCCTTACATACAGCTCTTTGTACATCTTAAATTTTAGTTGGATGGCCCAAATATAAAAGATGGGAATGAACTTAGATGATTTTTGAGTTCCTTTGAAGCAATCTGGTTCTTCCAAACATGTTTTTGTACTTGCAGATTATATATTTCATCAAGCATACCTGGACAGCTTTATGTTTATCAGAACAATTTTAAGCAGAGTTTCTATAAAATAGAACCAAAGACATCTGGCCTTTAATCTTTCTAAATCCAACTTTAACTTGGTGTTGAAACCGAGCAAGCGATTTTCTTGGACAGTTGCTACTTAGAGAGGATTTAAAATGAAATTTTTGTCTTGATGGTAGATTTCCTGTCATGCTGCTGCTGTTAGGCTACATGACCTACCTTACTAAATTATGGCTTAATAGCACAGACCTCTGCGGTCTTTGGTATTGATGCTTCTGCTGTATATTATATCTGCCAAGTTGCAGGTATACCTCTAATATACGAGCACACTTTTTGTACCAGCAGCAGTAATGGGATGTTGTCTCTTGCTTATAAGCGATCACGAAAGAATAAGTGTTTATGCCTTTAGAATCTGAAAACCTAAGAAATATTTTCAGGTCTGTCTTTGGGATATGTTGCATCATAAGTGTTACAACTACAGAACCATTTTCCCCCTACTCTGTTTTAAAGAACTGCTACACTGTTTAAAGCACTTGTTCACAACAATTTGGGGAGGGGGGAAGGGTAGGGGAAAGAAAAAAGATTCCTTTTTATTGATTGTGTCTCTATTGCTGAGCAAAGGGCATTTTAAATTAAAGCTTTGCAGCTTGACCTGGAGGCAAAGATTCCTATGCCTTCTTCCCCTGTAGTTCTACAAATAAGACTTTCAGTGGCTCCTGAGAGTTACAAATGCAATAATTATCCTCCCTATTCATGGTTTCGACTTTATCACAACATTATTCTCTTTTTACTCTAAGCTGTTTTAAACACCTTCAGATCATTTATCCAGCTGCATTCATGTCCTTACCATGTCCAATATAATGCATACCTTATCATCTCGTGGTTCACATTGAAAGCTAATTCTTTTATCTTTTCAACTAATCTCCTGGCATTACTGTGAAGATAAATCCCTAATCTCCCTCTCCCTGCTTTTCTGAAGTGACTTTTTTTCCTTGACATGTTCACTGTTGCTTCAGGTACTTCACTTCTCTAGATCTTGCTACAGAATTTTTGCATAGGTTTCTTAATTATTTTCTTGCTATAACTTGCAAGGCTGTCTTCTGTTTACCAGTCAACATCCCATAGGTAGTTCATGGTCATGTTCTGTAATATGGGGTGGTAAACAAATTTCAGGAAGAAGAGAATAAGGAAGTGTTGCACCTCTTTTTAAAAAGTCTACAAGAATGTCCATATACACCAAAAAACCATGTGCACAGCTTCTCAGCAGTTTTTTTGACTATTATTTTGCACTTCAGTCTGTGAAACATCTTCAGTCCTAATTACAGTATTACAATCTACTGTACAGAGTTATGGCAGAGTAGTAAACAGAATTGTGAATAGATTGTTAATAATAAAGGCTCACAAAGGAATGAGTTTAAAACAAGAAGGAGGTGGATGAGCAGAATTGTGCCAAATAGGGGAACCGAGAGGAATGTAGGCAGAGACAACACCCATGTAGAAATGGTTGCGCAGGAGGGATTTGTTCCCACCCAAAAACCTTATAGCCACAAGCATGAGATTTGAAAACATTTTGGGCATGCATCACTGTGTGTCTTTGCTTCTTTACGATGGATGCAACCCTCTCTGTTTGTTTTGTGCTTCTGCCTTGGTTGCAAACTCATCTCCTTTCTTCTGACTAGTCTAACTTTCATTCTGCTGTCCTCGTATGTATTTTTAATACTTTTAATAGATTCAAAGTTAGTTTTTCTGTAATTTTAAGTTACTATATATGTAGGTAACCTATATAATAAATGCCTGCAGGGCCACTAGCAATTGAAATTAGAAAAGCAAAGTCTCCACAACTTAATGTAAAGTAGTTTGCCTCTATTAATACATTTCTGGTTTACACACCATGTGTTGAATTGTTTTTCTGATTCCCGTGCCCTTCTTGATGCTGTTCACATTCTCCATGTTTCCAAACACATGAATAAAATGCATGTTACACTATCTTCCCAAAAGCTTTGGAAGAAGCATCCTAGTTAAGGAGAGGGTCAGGCATTGATTTTAAAAGGCTTGCTATTATCTTTGTAAAGTAGCTTCCCTTTAAGACTGTTCTATTTCAAAAGGTTGTCCTTGATTTTAAAATTCATTCTGAGAAATTATTCTCTCTCAAAATGACAGCACTTCTCAAGTGCAGCTTCTACACAGTTGTTCTTGACCTTTATACATTTTTTAAGCAGATAGGAAATTTTTGTTGTCTCCTGGGTTATGAGATTTCAGTGCATTAAGGTATACCAAGTATGCAAGTACATTTAGCTTATCTAGCTAACCTGAAGTTAAGGAAGCTATAATTTCCTTCTCAAGATCATTCCCACTTATTTTTTTGAACTGTCACTTTGTCATATGCATGCTTTCTTCACTATGATTTTTCTCTCTTCTACAGCAAAAACACAGTAATGTTCACTCCCCCTTGTGTTTCAGTGCCTGTGATCATTCTTGCTTCCTCATGCCCTCCTTAGTCTGCTTCTGTCTTCCCATATTGGATGATGCTGGAAATGGTCATGTTTTGCCCTCAGCTCTTCAGTGTTTGCTTTAGTGGAAACAGAGAAAAAGCCATCTTAAGAGTAAATATAGGGATATCACTGGTATTGCAAACAAAGGCTAAAAAAAAAAGAGAATTTGAATAAAACTGGAGGTTTTAATGTTGCTCTGAAAATACTACCTTGGTTATGCAGTCTTTCCTGGTGGAATTTCTTCCATCCGGACTTGTGTAACAAGTACAATTTCCTGCTTGTACTACTGCAGGGATTGGATTGACCAGATGATAGTTGTCAGGGTGCACTGTGCCAGCATAGGAAGCTGCAAAGCTAATAACACAGTGATTTATGGTTGCTACCAGTGTTTGGAGGTTCTTGTTCAACAGATGCGTGCTTAAGTTTTTGGAGGTGAACTTAGTAATAGTGAATGAATATATGTCGAATGGATTATTTTAATCTAATGTAAGGTTTTTCTTTGTCAGACAGATTTAAAAGCTTCCTTAGAGGGTGTCCGTGACAAAATCTCATATGTTCGTTTGTAAATATCTAAAACCAGGTGAATGTTGTAATAGTAGAACTTTCACCTGAAGGCAACTTAAGCTGTACACTATTTCAGCAGTAACCAAGTAGTGCATGGAATTGCTTGCCAGCATCGGCAAGCTTGGTACAAAACGTTTGACACATTCTTCTACATTTTGCATGGGTGTTTTTTCAAACCTGTTAAAATTGCTATTTTACTCCAATATTTAATTGTGAATAACCAGTTTTTCTTTCCAGTCCTTCCATTTCTTGTCTGAACAGAGGTAAAATACATCCAGATCATTCACACAGGAGCAGTGTTCCAAAATACGGTGTTAGAGCACCACCTATAGGATTTGCTCAAAAATAAAACAAGGAAGTGGCCAGTGAATAGCTGATTGAATACTCAAATAAAGTAATATCTTTCTGGATGTAGAGACTTTTTTGTCCATAGATATTAGGACAGGTACTATGTTCTTTAGCTAAAGTGTGTGAATACTCAACTGTGCAGCATGAATGAAGCCCTTATAAGAAATGTGTGAAAAACTATTTAAAACAATGTTTTCTTACAGCTGTACTTGAAGACAGTAAATCTACTATTTTTTTAAATTATTGGGTTTTTTTAATTTATGTTTCTAGATCTTTGTATTTAAGCTTTAAATATTTTAAGCTTTGTCCTTTAAACCTATTTTAGAAACTTATTTGTTATGCCATGTAGAAATATTTTAAAGTAATACTAATGATTTGAGAGTGTAATTTTTTTTTTGTATTAGAGCTAGACAATAATTTCAGGCCCTTTTAATCTTGAAAAATTATCTTAAAGACTTGACTGGATAAAAATAGGAAAAAAAACTTGTTTACAAATTACATTATTAGAACCTTTGCACTATTACAAATACAGTTTATTCTTCATCGCGGTTGTTTAACTGCATCAGCTCTGATTTGTTAGTTTAATCAAGTACATATTCAAAATTTAAAAATTGTAAAGCTTTTGATCATCAGACAATAGTGAAAAAGCTTCCTCATTTGAAATAGTTCTTGTGCTTAAACTACTGTGTGTAACTCTGCTACCAGTAAACTTTTAGAGCTCTCAAGCTTTGGACTAGCAGTGAGCAAATTGTACAATAAAAATCACAGAGGGCAAATATTTTTAATGTGTTTTCTGACCTCTGAAACTTCTCATAATTTCAAGATCTGTAGCAGAAGTATTCTGGCCTTCCTATTTATGTGAAGGTTGCGAATATGCTCTATGACAGGTGTTGGACATAAGGCTGCTAAGGGAGGTGGGGGAACCAGCAAAACAAATCGACAAAACTAGTAAGTACATTACTTGAAATAAAATCAGCAGAGCTAAGAACACTCCAGTGCAAGGAACAAGCAGCTGAGTTAAGGCCAATACAGAAAGCTACACCTGTAATAAAGTAAGAATACAAACGGCTGAGTTACTTCAGTTGCATAGAATTAGTCCTATAAATACAAGCCAATAAAAATGTAGTTATGCAAGTCTCTCTTAAGAATAACCTCTTGTGAACTTAACTTTTAATATCTGTAAATGAAACGTGCTGCAGGAGGTGCTCTTTGCCTTCCAAGCTTTTGGAATTGTGTGCATGAAGATCATTTCCATGCTATGGGCTAGAAGGGAGTGTGTAAGTTATGGCCAGGCAGTGAGTCTTCCCAAGACAGGAATCTTCAGCTACTTGATTATTTTGCTTTAATTTAATTTTCACCTTCTAATACATTTGTCAGTATAAAGTGTAAATGCATGCTTAAATTTATCTGAATCTTTGTGAAGGCAAAAAATAAAGTTAGGAAGTACAGAATCATTCATGTAAATAATGAAGTTGCCAAAGTCTGTATAGAATAACCTCTTTAATCTGTAGCACTAACTGGCAATTGAATAAACTTCTGCATTGGCAACATTGGAAAACATTTTTTAGTTGATGCATTCCATTATGAACTCCTTCAGACACTGTTGTTATTGCTACGTCATCTGGCACAGAGTGGTATTTTCCTTGATTAGTGCAGATTGTTTGTTCTTTTTTTGTCCTACTGTCTTTTTAAAAAATTGAGTTAATCAAGTTGCTTTCAATATATATGTATTTCTTTAGCTTGTGGAGATATTCCAGAACAAATTCGATCATCAAGTGGGACAATCACAAGTCCGGGGTGGCCTTCTGAGTATCCTACCCGAATCAACTGTAGCTGGTACATCCATGCGAACCCAGGGGAGATCATTACTATAAGGTAATGGTGCTCCTGTATTAACCACGTGGACTGAGCAAGTACTGACTAGATATTTTTAACTGCCAATTGTGTATGTACCAACTTCCTCTACCTTTCTTTAAATGCGAGATTTCTCTTTTTTTCTGTTTTCTGTCTTTTCCTTTTATTTGATTTGCTTTTTCGTAGCTGTGTAGCATTTGGCTTCAGCTGGAAGATTGGTGACTAGAAGAAGGTTCTATGTGTTCATTTGATTTCTTTTTAATGTCTCAAAAATATATGAATTTTGCATTTAAAATGTGTAGGGGGAATTCTGTAATACTTAATTGCCATGAAGTCTCATGGTGCGCTTAAAAATTACGTGACACAAGTAGTAAATCAATAGGTATGGCTGCAGTTTCGGAAATCCTGAATTTTGGTGTAAGGAGCTCCTCACAATTTCATACATCTTGTAACTTTTCTAAAGATGTAATATAAAGAAGTTCTATTGTAAGTTCAAGTTCTCATCAGTTCATTCCCCATTACTGCCACAAGGGAAATCTAGGCTTGTTTTAGCATCAAGATACAATTAGTACTGCTTCATAGGCAGACCATGAAACTGCATTATCTGCAGTTTTACTTGAGTTTCTAGTACAGACTTGCTGACCTAAGAAGCAGCTCTTCATTATGAAGTATTTGCTTTGACATCAGTTACTCATTTAAAGTACTGTTTTTTAATTGAAACAGTCTTTCTACTAAATATTAAACTGGCATAAATGCAATGTAAATTAGGTAGAACTGTTAATCTACTAGAATGCTTTCTAAACTTTTTCATACTGTTTATTTTTAATAAAACTAATTTTTTTTTTCCTCTCACATTGTTTTCTTCCACTCATACATTTCACATTTGATTTCTGGTTTACTGCTCTGTTGTCTGTACAGACCTGTTTTGCTCAGATTGTCTCCCCTTCACACTTCATTACCATGGCAGCACGTCTTCATATAGTTGTAGCCACACCATGACATTGTATGACATACCCGTTGGGTAACCAAGTAGTGCAACTGGGAGAAAATTGTATCTGAAATTATAGTTTTGAACAATTTAGCTGTACTTATGATGTCATGTCATATCATTGCCTAAGTATAGTATTAACTAAAGTTCTGATGAAATTTGAGTTAAAGAAAACCACTTAGTAGTATATGAAAGTCATTAAATGAGACTCAGAAAGACAATTTAGTGAACAGAATTGTTTGTTTGTTTTTAGATGAAGGCTTAATGTGTTTTTTGTAGCAAAACTGATCTATAAGTAGTGGATGCAATATTTTGGTTGATAGAATTGATTCTTGCTGTCTTCATAAAGTAAAAGTATCTTTACCACAAGGTTAAATCCTTTTACATGGGTAGAGAAGCCACTCTTTTTATTTCAGACCAAAAAAGAACTTACGGCTTATTTCCATTTTTATGTGCAGTAATTCATCAGCTTCATTGTTGTGTAATATCCCATTCAGTAGCAGTTTTGACTGTTTGGTTTTGTTTTTTTTTTAATTTTAGCTTTCAAGATTTTGATGTTCAGGGATCACGACGATGCAGCTCAGATTGGTTAACAATTGGAAGCTACAAGAATATTGAAGGCTATAGAGCGTGCGGCTCCTCCATTCCTTCACCGTACATCTCTTCCCAGGATCATGTTTGGATCAGATTTCATTCAGATGATAGCATCTCCAGAAAAGGCTTCAGATTAGCCTACTTTGCTGGTATGTTTCAGACGATACCTAGTATAGTTTTATGGTTTCATTTTTTTGTTTCCTGTTTCAAGAACTACTTCTTTGTAGCAGGGCACAGTGTATGTTGTTCTTGTAGTCAATTCAAGGCTTATTGAATCAGGGAAAATATACACTGTATAAAGTATTTTGTCCCATGCACAACTTGAATATTCAGAGTGGGATCAATGATTACAGTAATAAGCAGAGTGAATGTTTTTAGGAGGAGAAAAGTTCACTATTAATGCTAGGCAATTGGTAGTTTTTTAACATACTTTAGAATGAGAAATGTTTTCATCAGACTAAAATTAGTTTGTTAAAATATAGTTGGGTAGACTTCTGGGTACCATAAATAAAGCAAGAGAGGGAAGAAATGGCAGGATTTTATTTACATTTCTCATAGAAATTGCATTATTCTTTCCCATCTCCAGAAAGTATACTATCTTTAAATTAAAAAAAAAAAAACAAAAACAAAAAAACAACAAACCAAAAACAAAGAACCAAGAAACACCCACAAAAACACAAACATAAAACAAACAAACAAAAACAACCCCCCCCAAAAAAAAGCCAACCAAAAAACCAAAAAAAAACACACAATAAGAACCGAACCAAAACAAACAAAAAAAAAACAAAACGAAAACCAAAAAAAGCCAACAACAACAAGAAAAAAAAAACACAAAGAAAACCACAACATATTAATCTGATAGATTGCTCTAGCCAAGCACAGACACGGTTCTGTACATGCAAAATTTTTCTTGGACAATGCAAGTATGTGACACAAGTTATTTGCCAGTAATAATAGCTTAAGACTGTCTTGTGTCGCAGTAGGGACGGACAAAGCAACAAGACAAGTGTTGGCGTAGCACAAAAAGCCTTTATTGTTTTTCTTCCTCATCTATTTATACTCTTTCCCCAGATGTGTCTTCTTCTCATTGGGTCAAAGTTACTGTGTTTCTTTTTTATTGGATAATATTTTCACAGTTCATCACAACTCAGCACTTCCACCAAAGGAACACAGTCTGTTATCAACACTTTCTTCAAATTCCAGTCTGCTGTCAGCACTTTCGACAAACTTGTTTACCTTGCAGCTCTTCTTGGTCCTGTTTATTCTCTCAAGGGTAGACTGGAATCTTCTCAAGGTCAAAGTCACTCTGTCCAAGGGCCTCAGTCCAGCTGAGGTCCCCCACAGTCTTGTGGGCAATTCTTGCTCTAGAAGCTCTTCCTATGAGAGAGGAAGAAGCTAGTCATGGCTACAGACTAGTTCCAAACTTTTTTCTGGTTTTAAGACGTATTGCAATCTTATGTAATAGCACACTTATGGTCTTCTGTGTCCTTGTGGTGGGTTGGGCCTGGCTGGATTCCAGGTGCCCACCCAAGCTGCTCTGTCACTTCCCTCTTGAGCTGGACAGACGAGAGAAAATTTAACAAAAGGCTCTTGGGTTGAGATAAAGACAGGGAAAGATCACCTACCAATTACTGTCACAGGCAAAGCAGACCCAACTTGGAGACAATGGTTTAATTTGCTACCAATCAAATCAGAGTAGGATAATGAAAAAAAAATAATCTTAAAAACACCTTTCCTTATCCCCTCTCTTCTTCCCAGGCTCAACTTCACTCCTAGTTTTCTCTACCTTTTCCTCCACAGCAGCACAGGGAGACAGGGAAATGGGGATTGAGTTCAGTTCATCGCACATTGTTTTTGCTGCTCCTTCCTCCCCAGGGGGAGGACTGCTCACACTTTTCCCCTGGTCCAGCGTGGGGTCTCCCACAGAGACACAAGTCCTGTCAGCAAACCTGCTTCAGCATGGGCTACCCATGGGATCACAGCCTCCTTTGGGTGCATCTACCTGCTCCAGTGTGGGGCCCTCCATGGGCTGCAGGGGACAGCCTGCCTCACCATGATCTTTACCACGGACTGCAGGGTAATCTCTGCCCAGGTGCCTAACGCACCTCCTTCCCCTCCTTGCCTGACCTTGGTGCCTGCAGAGTTGTTTCACTCGCATATTCTGTCTTCTCTCTGGCTGCAGTTACTGTTGCGCAGCTGTTTTTTCCCCCTTCTTAAATATGTTATCCCAGAGGCACTACCACCATCGCTGATTGGCTCGGCCTTGGCCTGCTGAGGGGTTCTGTCTTGGAGCTGGCTGGCGGTGGCTTCAGACGTAGGGGAAGCCTCTAGCAGCTCCTCACAGAAGCCACCCTTGTAGCTCCCCTCGCTACCAAAACCTTGCCATGCAAACCTGATACAGCCCTGATCATCCCAAATACTGGATTGGATTCTTCTTTGTTTTCATAGTGGTTTCATGTTCTCTTGCTCCATCCCAGTGTATGCCTATATCCACACTCTGGTCTGTTCCAAATCTCTGAGTGCCTACCTTGAACTCCTCTCCTCCATAAAACAATTGATACTCTTACACCTATCCACTGCCACCCACTGTCTACCTAATGTTTTCCTTCACCCTATCAGTCTTTCACAAGCCTGAAATTCCCAGGTGGGCTTATCCTTCTCTGTTGCCCATTTTTCAAGTCTACAGAAAAGTTCCCTCTTTGATTCAGCTCTCTGCAGCTTAGCAAGTCTTGGTAGAAGTAATGAAGCCTTGCATTTGATGCTGGCTCAGCTTTCAGGGCAATGTTCTACCTGGGTTTTGCTGAAACACACTCTT